ACAGGGACATGACCAGGCCGAGTGTTCCTCGCTGCGGGACTTTATTTAAAAAGAAAAACTTTCAAACTGGGAAATTAAGAGAGATAAGAATACAAGTTATTAATTTTTTTCTTTTATTATATTTATTTATTGCAGAATTGTGAACTAGTTTGGCTGTTTGAACAGAGATTAATGTTTGATAAAGCTAATTAAGCAAAAAGCCACTAAAGGCCATGTGTTAAAGTCATTTTAAATTAACATAGTAATATTTAACACAGTTAAATTAACAGTAATATTTAACACAGTTAAATTAACATAGTAATATTTTATATATAATAAAAATATTACTATATTAAATGTATACATTTAAGTGCGTGTCATTTTTTTTTTTTGCTGTTGCCACCATTTTATAAAAGCAACTTGGTGCATTAATATAGAATGTGGGGTCACAGGTGTCCTTTTTACTCATTCATATAGTTTAAAAACAGAATCAAAATTCTGAATCAGCCCTATCTGTTTTATAAAGCAAGTTATTAAATGCTTAAAAAGACAGAACAGATAACTACAAACTAGTTCATAATCTCTACCACAATACTTGTGTAATAACACAAACAAATAGTTAAATCAGAGTTTTGATATAATTCATTCAAACGAACCATTTGAACTGATTCATAAATTAATCAAACATACAAAATGTAACGCTGCTGCTATTTAAAGGTCCCATATTGTCAAAACTGAAATTCCCTGGCTTTTTTCACGATAACTGAGGCCTTTAAATTAAAATACGCTATTAAAACACCTCCAGACAAGAAACAATTGCAAAACTAGTCTGATTGCATGGTCTTTAGAAAACTTAATGGATGAATAAAAAGTGCACAATATTGCTTAATTTTATATTGCCATCAAAATCATCAGAAAAAAATATAGTGAATATTCAATATAATACCGTTCAAAAGTTTGGAATCTGTTATATTTTGGTTTTAAAGTAGTCTCTTATGCCCACAAAGGCTGCATTTATTTAATTTTTTTAAAATCCTAATTGTAATTTATTCCTGTATTGGTAAAGAAGAATTTTCTTTCTTTCATTTTTTAATTTTCTTAAATGTCTTTACTAAAGTATTAAATTCATTTTTTTTTTATCTTACTGGCTTTTGAATGGTAATGTACACTACTAACAGTAAACATCATTATTTATAAAAAACATGGCATTACCATGGTACACATAAAGAAGGTATCACCACAGTGCCATAAGACAATTTCAAAAATAATATGACTGCTACCAAACTGCCCTGAAATTCCTTACATGACACGATGACTGACAAAGGAAAAACCTAACATTATGTACAATATTTACATCGCTTGTCTGAAAGTACAGTGAAGTCAGAGTGTGTTTGCATGCATCGTTACACTTCTGTCCTGAAGTATTGTGCAGTGCTGAAGTGTTTGTAGAAGAGTCTCACCAGCTGTTTGGCTTTCTCAGACTCCTGCCGCGTCTGTACTCGCTCTCTCTGCACCGCTCGAGTGATATCCTGCCGGGCTGCCTCTCTTTCTTTGCGTGCGATGTGAGCCAACTCCTCCTGTATAATGGCCTGCTGCTGCTCATACCTGTGCAAGCATGCACACACACAGACACGGCTTTATTTACATGCCTGTTGCCAAGCCATGATTCACTCACTGCAGTTCTCAATCCTACCACAGAGAGTCAGTGTTTTGTCCACTGTTCTTATGCTTGTTTCAACTGTATGATTCACACTTGAACAGCATCCAGGAAAAAAATGAGTCCTCTTCTAATTTAAGGTCTCTTCCCTTGTGAGAGCTACAGTGTTTAGTATTCATGTCATATTTTATCAATACATATATTATTAGATTAGAAGCATAATTGGGAAAAATGCAAGATGAATTGGTTGAAAATGTTTAAAACACATATGAAGTGATTCAGAAAGAACTAGAAAGAGCTGAAATGAAGGGTGTGTCATGTGGATCTGTGTTTAGGAATAATATTGGTGGTGTCTGTCTGACTGGATCAGTTGACTCAGCTCAAAATGGCGCTGTGTTAGTATTTTAATATATTGTTGATATATAAACAGTTTTTCAGTGCAATGCCAAATACAATTTTTTTTTTAAAAAGGCAGCTACATATTTAGTTTTTTTTACATATTTAGTTATATTTAGTTTCTATTAAATTGTATAATTTTTTTGTTCTACTCACTATAGTGCTGTACTGTTAGATGTAATATTTATTTTATCAATTTCATCTTATTTCTTTTGTTTACTTGTCTATTATAATCTAATTTGTATTATTTAATTATTTTAAATAAAATCTTATTATTGATTAATGTGTATTTATTTTAAGAATTTTATTATTTATTTTCATTTTTAAGTAAAAGTTAAATAATATCTATTAACTTATCTTTTTTTTTTTTAGTAATTTTTACACAGTTTTTTTTCCTCTCTAAACTTTTCCACAGAAAGTTTAGCACTTTCTTGCCGGCCCCCGAGGGTCCTCGTTTGAAACTCCCCCAGTTTGAAAACCCTGCACTAGAGTACCTCTTCCTGAGCTCCTCTTTAGTGTCAGGAAAAGTTGTCCTGGCCTGTGTCTTTGGAGGTTGCGGGTCAGATGTGCTGGATGTTCGAGTCTGCTGACCTGCAAGGTTACAGAAAAATTAACCTGCATTACAAATTAAATATCTCACTAATTGCATCACACAATAGGCATATAAACTGCAAACATTTATGAAAATATTGTGTCACACCTAGGTTTTCTTTATTGTTGTCAGGCGGTCTTGGATCAGCACTGGCATTCCTCATGCGCTGTAGGACGTCTTCAGACAGCTAGGGACAAAAAAAAAACAGTGGAGAAGTTACACAAATGTCCTCAACAAGCCCATAAAACTCTTCCCACCATTGGGAACCAGCAAATACATACTCAATATAACAAGAAATATATACACATAGAAACGATAAAGCTTAATCATTCCTTCTAGAACAGCCTTGCAGATTTGTAAACACACAAATTTTAATAATAAAGAATAACTTGTTTCGGTTGACTCAGTGTTTCTTCTAACTAATTGGTTGAATGATTTAATGACTCACGCTCAACAAAAAGGTCTCACTTGTCCTCACCTACTGACCTAATGGGCAGTGGGCAGTCGTGGCCTAATGGTTAGAGAATCAGATGGGTTCGAGTCTCTGTACCAGCAGGGATTGTAGGTGGGGGGAGTGAATGACCAGCACTCTCTTCCTCCCTCAATACCAGGACTGAGGTGAGACCCTTGAGCAAGGCACCGAGCCCCCAACTGCTCCCCGGGCGCTGCAGCAAAAATATGTGTGGGGGTGTGTGCACTTGGATGGGAATAATGCAGAGCACAAATTCCGTGTATGGGACACCATAATTGGCTACATGAGCCACTGAACGAATCTTTAAGTGACCGAACTAAAAAAAAGATTCGAGTCACTCGAAGAATCAAACTCTCCAGTCTGTAGTCAACTCTCTTTATAAAGAGTATTGCAAGATTACAACGCTTAACGTCCCGACAGGACTATAACTTACACCTGCTCTTGGTTTCAATTACATTTCTGCACACCTGAGGAGCCATTAGATTAGCAAGGACTCTACTGTCATAAACCAGAGCCCGTCTGTCAATCATGTGCGAAAAAACTCCTACATATCCATGTGTTTGTGAGATGACAGACATCCGAAACAACACTGTGCCGTTTTCTCAAACTTGTCCCGTTCAGTGAAGGAAATTTGGGTAACCTGACGACAGATTCAAGCAAAAAAGTCCCACAGAAAAAAAAAAAACAATCGTATCGTGAACCAGAATGACTGGTAGGTAGTAAATATGGGATGTTGGATTACCTTCACTCCACGCAGAATCCTCACCCTGTCATCCTCATCAAGGCCGAAAGAAACTCTCCTAGGCGTGCTTTCTCCGGATCCCATCGCTTTTTTTGCTACAGCTCCCTTAACGGATCTTTAATAAAATATAGATATTTTTTATTCTTTTATTGAAAAGAACACAAATTATTCCTTAAACACGCAGATATGTTTGACAGATTTGCACCTTACCTTTAGGAAGTGGCAGTTTGTAAGGGGCAGTATCCTGAAACATTATTGGCCAACGACAGTGCAATAAGCCAATAGAATTTCAGGATATATATCGGCGACTGGAGTAAAGGCTTCTGGGAGTTGCAGTCAATAAGCCGTACTATTCATTAGCCCCTGATTTAGTCAGTGCTCATTTAATTTTAATGGTTTAGTGTACTTTATATTTAATAAGGTTTTGTTTATTTGTAGTGTTTTAAATTACGAACTGCAATGTTTATTATCTCTATCAATAAAAAACATGAACTGTGAAAACTAGAGGTGTAAAGTTATCCAATAAATATTGAGTTGTATGACTGAGGCTATGCTTCAGTTGTTATTTAAAATGACTTCCAAAAGCCCAGGTGGGAGTAATGTTTCTTGCAAGAGCTTAAACAAATGTTTTAAATTGGTATAGATCTCTCTTTTATTACCTCCAACTAAGTATTGTTTACAAAGTGACTCTGGGTGAATCTCTCATAAACAGAAACTAGATAAAACACAAAAAAAGAAGCGTTTTCTTTTCTGACGTCATTTGATTCTTGGTGTAAAACAATGTCGACCAAAAAACATTTTGTAGCAACTCTAGTCTTTTTTTTTTCAACTCTGTACAGGTGAAAATGCATTCTGTTTTTATCACAATATTAACTGCTTAAAAGTCCATTTTGTAGATATATGAAATAAATAAGCTTTCTAAAAACACCAGCACAAGATGACTAATATTAATGTTGGCTGCTTGTACTCAGATAATTAATTTGGTATATTGTTGATTCCTGTACAACAAATTGCTCCTAATTTTGAAGTCGCTTCAAATACAAGTGAGCAACTTTTACTATCATTACTGAACATGAGATATTAGCCTCTTAACAACCCATAACTTAATATTAAAAGCATTCAACAAATGCATGACACAAAATATAATTCAGAGACCAGACAATGTTCTCTTTCAGGTATTGATTTATTCTCAAATGCCATCATACTCCTTACACAAGGCATCATAAGCAAGTACTGTACATATAATAACATTCCCTGTTTTACAGACAAATCAGAAGTAGTAATGTTTCTATGAAGGAAAAGACAGATTTGAATGAGAGGAAGCTGCATTTTTGACTGCTTTAACTTTTGTGACAATGTGAATAGTAAGTGCACAGTAATCAATAATTACCTTCACTTTAATTATAGCGCAAATATTAACTGCAAGAGAGAATATTGAAAGAGGTCTGTCCATTATCCATAACCGATTTCCATTCAGAATATCCCAAATTCCCACCTCTAATGTGGCACTTGATGTAGAATGTAACCATGCATGTTGCCTTAAATTCAACAGCAGAATTATAATACAATGCCTCAGGTAATTACAGTGTCATAAAGGCATTTCATTCTAAAGGCTAAATGTCTGTCACAACACTATACATGTTTAATTTAAGATTTCAAAGACCTCTCTGTAGGAAACTGATTTGAGATAAGATTATTTAACATGACACCATCATCACCATTGACAGTGCCATAGTAGGACTGTCCCAGAAGAAGTAAACTGAAGCAAGGACATGACAGTGTGACCGTTTCAGTGGACAATGATTGTGAATGGAGTGCACAAAATAGAGGGCTTGTAAAGAACCATTATGATTGGCTGGGATTGAAGGGGGTCTAGGAGTCATTGACTGACATGTTCTCCACCTTGTTCTCTAGATCAGCATTACCACCCTGCTGTTTCTTCTTCTTCCCTCCTTCCTGCTGTTTCTTGTGCTTCTTGGATGCCTCCTGGTCGATAGGGGCTGGCTTCACGAACTTGATCATTTCTGTTAAACCTGAGTAAAGAAACCATAATATTGAAATAGACAGCTGGTGGCTTCTTGTCAGAGAAAACATAGTCTACATATAATGAACATCTACCTAAAGGATCTACTCATAGCTCAAATCTTGTGATTTATGACTACTACTCCTACAGCACAACCAGTGTAGTCTGATTCCAAAACAAATTAATCATCTGAGCCAAAGAATGACTCTTATGAATCTGATCTTTGTAGTGAGTATAGCCATAATATTGAAATAGACAGCTGGTGGCTTCTTGTCAGAGAATGTATACATATGATGAACATCTACCTAAAGGATCTACTCATAGCTCAAATCTTGTGATTTATGACTACTACTCCTACAGCACAACCAGTGTAGTCTGATTCCAAAACAAATTAATCATCTGAGCCAAAGAATGACTCTTATGAATCTGATCTTTGTAGTGAGTATAGTGACAGTTCAGCTAATGTAATCCGATTCCAAAACTAATGACTCTTCTGAGCCGCTTCTTTATAGTGAATCAAAACGTCTTATCTGATACCCAAAAGATTGACTCTTGTGAGTCGGTTCTTTTTTAGAAAATCGAACACATACAGCACAAAGAGGTTTGCCTGATTTCTGAACTAATGATTCTTATGAATCACTTCTATATAGCAAATCAAAAACATACAGCACTAACACTAGGAATCATTCAAAAGAACCAGTATCGGAACATATCGAATAAGCTACCCCATCCCAAAACAAACAACTAGCACCTCTCAAGTCTTTTTCATGCATTTAGTATAAGATTGAACCAAACTTTACCAAAAGATCCATATTTAGCGATCCTCACCTGGAGGCATGAATGCCTTGAGGGCTTCTGGAATAATGATGCCTTCCTCTGTCTGAAAGTTCTCCAGGATAGCACAGATAACACGAGTGGTCGCACACATGGTGGCATTTAGCATGTGCACGAACTCAGCCTTAAAGAGAACAAACACAATGACCAATGAAACCAGCTTGATACAGTAAATACAGATTACCCGGAATCCTTACTCAGAACTGTGGTGTAGAACTGTACCTTGTCCATCATTTTCTTGGTCTGCCCGTAGCGAATACGTAAGCGGCGAGCCTGGTAGTCTGTGCAGTTTGAGCATGACACAAGCTCTCTAAAAGCCTGGGAGCCTGGGAACCAAGCCTCTAAATCCAGCTTTTTACTAGCTGCATGGTTCAAAGCACCTGTGAAATAAAAGCAAACAATATATTTGAAGATTTGTTATGGGATGCTGTGAAAAGCTTTTACTGATTTCCAACAAAAGGCGCCCAATGGCGCTCTCAATGAAAATAAAGAGTAATGTGAACAAACCTGACACAATGTTGACAATCCGGTAGGGGATTCCTAATGACTGATAAAACTCCTCAGCGGTTCCAATCATCTCATCAAACATCTCCCAGGACTTGCCGTCATAAGGAGAGGCGTAGACAAACTGCTCAATCTGGAAAGCGATGGAGAAAGCTTGTGATTTTGCTATTATACAGTTTGTTCTTCTCATTAATACCATTAGTTTCTTAAAATTATTCACTTTCTGCAAAACATGCTGATTTGGCTAGTGCTCTCTTTTTCTTGTAATGAAATAAAGTCATCTTAATGCACATATTTCAATGTTCATTCATTATTTCAGTGATGGAATAGTTTGGACCTTCTCAAACTGATGGACCCTGAAGATCCCACGTGTGTCTCTGCCGTGAGAGCCCACTTCCTGTCTGAAGCAGGTGGAGATGCCGGCATAGCGGATGGGAAGGTCTTCTGGCTTCAGCCACTCATCTCTCAGGAAGGCTGCCATTGGCTGCTCCGATGTGGCAATCAAATACTTCTCGTCCACCGTATTGTCGTCAGACTTCTCGCTCCCCTTCCCGATCACCTGAACAAACACATTACAGGAAACGCTGTAATTCTTTGCGGGTTCGGATTAGAGGCTGACATTTTTTCGGGAATCCCGCAGGATGGGAAACAAAATCACTATTAATCACGTGATTGGGACGGGACAGGAAAAAATGTCAGCGGGAGTGGGCGGGACCGGGAATCGTAATAACACTATGATACCCAACTTTATACACAAATATACCTTTTATATAAATAAACTATAAACTGTATATTTTAATTTTGAACTCAATTCTAGTTGCCCTGTCTCTTTATGCTCTCCTCCTGTTTGCTTTGGTGTGGCTGGTTAAGTGAATGATGTACGCAGTCCGTGACGGACAGATCGTTAGCGGCTGGTCTGTGTGGTAGCCTAATATAGTACATCGGGCAGGACATTTAAACGCCCGACTATCATTCATCGACCTCAAATATGGCTTTTCATCTGAAAGATGTATGTAGTAACAACTTTACATGGCCGCTCAATCTAATGTTCACCTAGAGAAATGTGCGCTATTCAAGTGTCTGTGTGGAAGCTGAATAGCAGCGCGCTCACTGCGGGACAGATGGAGGCGCCGGTGCGCTCACTTGCTCTTAAAATACTCCATAATTTTTGGTCATACAGATAAAAATAATACATCTTTTGAATCTGTAAAGACTCTACGTTTATTTGTGTGCACTCAGAATATCAACTAAAAGTTGCACTTCTGTAAAATAATTAAAGCAAACAGGATGCGCTTTCTGCCGTCTCGGTCTGTGAACTTGAGCGAGAAACTTCGAAACCCCGCGTATGAAAAATATATCTATAGAGAGTGAAATGTCTACTTTCAAATGAAAAAAAATTCAAATAGAAATCGTGTGTGTTAGCATGCATGATTTACATGAAATTTAATGTGTGTGCCAGGGGCGATTCTAGGATTTTCATTTTAGGGGGACTCAGCACCCAATGAGGGTATAATAATAAAAAAGAAAGAAAGAAATAAAATAATGTCTGACTAATAGGTTAGGGTGGTATACTAAACCTATTGCAGTATTCCACTGTATTGCATAAATTAGATTGGAAATAACATTTGAGTACTGAATAAACCAAATACAAGTTCCTGATCACAAACACACACACACACACACACAATTTTACTGTTTGCAATTCTAGTACAAACCTCTTTCTATGCTCAAGTACTGTCTGTCACTGTCTTCAATAATTTCTGTGCAAGACTGTATGGTAGTTAATGCCACATGCACTGTAATATGTTTTATATTGAAAGTTCAATTTTCAAATGAAAATAGCAACATTTTATAAAGTATGCGTTCATATGTGTTAAGGTCTAACGTTACATTTTCGCTGGAGGAAACAGCTGTGGTGTGATGAGGGGTGAACACAGCGTAAACTTTACAGTAGATGGGAAACCGATTGCTCCCCCATGACATTTTGTAAACTGTATTTATGACAAAGAACTTCACAGATGCAGATATAACAATCTACCGATAAACACACACCTTGTCCTCTGTTTCTTGCTCTGCGCCGCCACGGTCAGCGGATTGAAGAACGCGCTGAAAGACGGGGAGGAGCCGAAGTCTGCTGCCATTTTCATGAAATTTAAAGGGGACTGAGGCGATCATGAATTTGTGTAGTTTATGGAGCTAATCGCTCAATTTTTAGAGGTGCCGAGTAGAAAAAATGGCCTAGCAACACCCATGGTGTGTGCAATGCACACTGTGCATTGTTTAAGCTGGATTTCAGTTCAATAAAATAACAAAAAACTACATTTTGGATTTTTATTCAACTAAAGTGGGCATGCTGTGATCTGTACTGTATTTTTTTTTACTGTAACTTACAGATTCTGGCCAAAAAACAACACGGGAGTGGGAGGGAATGGGAGTCATTCTTCTGGGATTGGGACGGGACGGGATTTTCCCCCAGTTTTTTCGTGGGATTGGGACGGGACGGGATTTCTTTTTTTGTGGGAGTGGGACGGGAGAGGTTTGAAAATCCACTTCCGTGTCACCCTGTAGTTCGGCTCAAGACTCTATAGAGGGTCTTCTACAGCAGCTGACCAACTGTCTGATTCATTTGAATGAATCTGTTTGTTTGAACACTTTATTTCAATGTACCAGTTACAGGATTCCCACACCTTTATATACACACATATACAGCATATTATAATTTATTTTGTAATATAATTTGAAACATTAAATGCAAATATAAACATAATATGTAAATATTTTAATCATTTTTATTATAATATAAAATTTATGTTTATAATATAAAATAAATAAAATTTGCTAAATAATATTCTATATAAAATAGTATTTATATATATATATATAATTTATTTCTTTATTTAATTTAAAGGTGTGTACAGGAGGGTGTAGCTCTTGCTGTACAGGATCCGCAGTGCGTAGTTAATTAATGCCTGTTCCAAAAAAACTAAAGGCCCCTGAAATTATAGAACATATCAGCCAAGAAATTTAAAAATGGGTGTTTAGGGTTTTTTGGATTGTTTGTTTCGAAGAACTGGCAGCAGAGCGGGTTTAAATATTGTGAAAAAAGCTAAATGGGTCCAAAATATTCAGGTTTACACAGAAGCAGTGCATTTAAAGGGCAACAAACCTTGAGGAAGTATCCTCTGCTGCCAGCCACGATGGCTCCTTTTTCCCCTTCGTATCCATCCACCATGACAACCAGGTCCACGTGAGAGTACTTCTTCTGCACTGTGCATTCGCCGCAGGTGCGTTCCACCTTATTATCAGCATCCTGGGAAAGAGAATCACCGCTTTATCCTAGTCTCCAGATGGAGAAGTTAAACAGCATCATTGTAGTAAGGTTCATTTGCTCTATTCTAATTCCATGAACGTTCCTTGGTGTTTGCAGGTTTGGAGGACCTGCGCAGTGTATTGTGTGAATCACCTCATCGTTGCTGATGGGCACAGAGGGATGCAGGAGGTTGCCGATCTCTCTCAGGTACTCAAAACGCTCCGCCTCCACCTTTAACCGATCACTGTCCGTTTTCTGCACCGCCTCGTCCACCAGTAACCGCACCTTCTTTATCTGAGTCACCGTGAGGGGCTGACAGGGACAGGATGAAGAAATACTGGTCACAGATGGATGTGGATGATGAGTTTAACTTAATATAAAAGCACTTTAATTCAAAAGATTTCGAAAGACGCCTCTCATCCTCATCAAGGCTGCATTTATTTGATCAAAAATACAGTAAAAAAATGGTGATAGTGAAATATTCTTACTATTTAAAATGTAATTTATTCTTGTGGTGGCAAAGCTGAATTTGCAGCAGCCATTAATCCAGTCTTCAGTGTCACATGATCCTTTAGAAAATTATTAATGTCTTTACTGACACTTTTGATCAATTTAATGTGTCGCTATTGCTTGACTCACTGATAATGTTTCTCCAGTGAGGGCTTCCAGATTCTGAGCCTCTTCTGGAAGAGTGTCATCATCACCAACTGGCTCTTTTTTCTGCAAAAACAGAGTAAATCATCATAAGACCAGCAAGCAGAATATTATTATTACTCAGTGATAACAGATTAAAACAAACATCTGATTTATGTACCTTCATCTTTTCCCCGATGGCTTTGCTGCACAGATTCTTGGCCTTGTTTAGATTATCTGCAGTGAAGCGGCCTGAAGGCAAATCAAGAGAAGTATTTCTAACATCAAAGCATGCCACTGATATGCTGTCAAGTGGCCTGGCAAGAGTAATTATACTATCTTAAGTTTGGAAATCACCTAGAGAAGATGAAAGATTTTGGTAAATGAGTAAATGTGCTTTAGAGAGTAAATGTGGAATTATGCCAAATTAATTTAATTTTGTCTACTTTTCAGTAGTTGTATTTCTCATAACATCAAGTATTACACCAACTAATAAAATGTTGCCCAGTGTTGTCAGTTGTCAGCAACAATGTTCATATTAAAGGCTATGAAAACAAATACAGTGAATGTAACTATGTAGGCTTTGCAACATATTATGTGCAAAAAAGGGTTAAAATCACATTACAATCTAAATGCAAATAAATGCTTTTAAAGCAGAAGTTAAATTCGCTAAACTAAAAATAAAAATAAATAAAAACAAAAGCACAGACTAATTCACTTTACAGTTACTGCTATTATAAAAACACACTTACTTGTAGGATTAAAATTCTACATATGGCACATTCATTGTCCAACTACAAATATTTGAGCAAAATGTATATTTTAGTCTATTGTGCTCTTGTCTGTTTGGCGTGGCTCGTTCACTGAAGTCTGTGAAGTTTAGCGAAGACTCGCATGTAGAAGACTCATCCACTCCTGACAGCAAAATGGAAATATTTCCATGACTTCCTAACATTCACAGATGGAGCATATACCTGTGATAAGTTCATTGAGGAAACCACCACATCTCAAATGCATTAAACAGCGCAAGTAGTAACTTTAGCAGCACAGTCACCCTTTCTGTCAGAGCATCTGACAGGGCAAGCCGATTTAAACTATACATGTTAGCTATATCTTACGAGTTATTTTAAAGCCTGCTATGTTCTCGCCTCGTATCAAATCACTATATATATATATAAACGGTATTGCCTCATACCATATCGTTTACAAAAGTTAAATTCGCTAAACTAAAAATAAAAATAAATAAAAACAAAAGCACAGACTAATTCACTTTACAGTTACTGCTATTATAAAAACACACTTACTTGTAGGATTAAAATTCTACATATGGCACATTCATGGTCCAACTACAATTATTTTAGCAAAATTTATATTTTAGTCTATTGTGCTCTTGTCTGTTTGGCGTGGCTCGTTCACTGAAGTCTGTGAAATTTAGCGAAGACTCGCATGTAGAAGACTCATCCACTCCTGACAGCAAAATGGAAATATTTCCATGACTTCCTAACATTCACAGATGGAGAATATACCTGTGATAAGTTCATTGAGGAAACCACCACATCTCAAATGCATTAAACAGCGCAAGTAGTAACTTTAGCAGCACAGTCACCCTTTCTGTCAGAGCATCTGACAGGGCAAGCCGATTTAAACTATACATGTTAGCTATATCTTACGAGTTATTTTAAAGCCTGCTATGTTCTCGCCTCGTATCAAATCACTATATATATATATAAACGGTATTGCCTCATACCATATCGTTTACAAAAAATATATTGATATATCATACAAACTCTATATATATGGCCCAGCCCTAAATCACACTGTATTACAATATATTGTACTTGCATACTTTCACTAGTAGAATACGATATAATATTTTGTAATACAACACAATTTTCATTAATTGAAATAAACCTGAAATAAAATATAAATATAAAATGAAATTTCAAGTCGCCATGAAACAAATGTTGCAATAGTCTTTTCTTCCCTATTATGACGTATATCTGAGTAAAACAGATTCTTGAAAAAGAAAAAAATGAGAAAAAAGGTCCCCAGATAAGAGATGTCATTGCAAGAGGGAGGATTGCTACTTTGATTAAATATTACTATTAATATTTATAACAACTGTATAATAAAATATACAATATTACTCAATTTTGATTTCAGGGTGACTTGAAATGAATATTAGAAATAAGTTTAAGTTAAAATTCTAAAATTACTAAAACTGAAATAAAAATATATATATAAATAAAATAATACATTTTAAAAAATCTTAAAATATTATATAAATAATTCTAATCCATTATAAAACAAAGATGACAATTATGTATACACATTTTGCAATTTAAAAAAGTCCTTATTTCTCTATACTATAATAATTAGAAGTGGTGGGGTGCTTAATTGTCATAAAAATGTAAAGGATTCATTTAATTTCTACAAAAAAATCATTTAGATTTTGTCCTGGACACGTTATTGCCAGCTTCCACAAGAATCCCCCAAAAGCATAACAACCAGAGGAGCTATCTAAAGAAGAAGCAATTCATTGAAGGATTACTTGCTTCTATGTGATCCTTTACCTGTGATAAAACATACCAAGCTCAAATCTTACTAGTGAGACTTTTAGATGAATTTAAATGAATACTGAATGAAATTGGCAGCCTGTCACTCCCTAATACTTTCACTTTAGTTGCAAAGTCAAGAACATGGTAAAACACTGACAGTCACTCAACAGCAGCAGCTCCTCCCGATTCACTGCCATAGAGATTGCATCAGATTCTGCCGGGTGATGCTACTGCGACACATTTAATCAATACATACTCATAACTCTCCGAATAACATATGATATGAACATATATTAGGCTCAATAACACATACTAGTTTCATTAAATAAAGTTAAAAAAAAAAAGGTTAAGCACGCTATGACAGCTGTGTTAACTATTAGCGTCAATGCAACATGCTAACTTACTCCAGTAACGTTAACGTTACACCGGCATTGCGGTTTCTGAACATTTATACACATTTAATATTAACTTTATCATGTGCTATAGTGCAATTAGTGTGTATTTCCCTTTGTAACGTTTTAATGTTTATGAACAGATGTGTTATACGTGTCACAATCTGTTCTCATTCACAGGCTGCCATGCGTTTCAATAGCTTTAGCGTTAGCCGCTAAGTTACTCACATTTCCTCCATTCTGTGTCCGCCTCGACCAATTTATCCACCAGAGACACATCTTTGAACCGTTTCCTCTGCGTTTCCCTCACGATTTCAGGATCGCCGCCTTTGTCGGTGCGAAACAGGTCTAAATCGAGCACCATGATGCCTGTGGACGACGTGTGCAGTGCGGATGAAGGAAAGAATATGGAAAGTGTACTGTGGAGGGATATGGAGGGGAGGCGCTAGAGAGCAACTGTTCATGAATATTCATCACGCCGCCGCGGCGAAGTTCTGAATCATAGGCTGAGCTAATGAATATTAATTACTTTAAACCGACGTTGCTTGGCAACCTTCCCGGAGTGGTCCAGAGCCGTTGAGAAACAACGTTTCTTTTTTCCGTTGTTTCTCAACGGCTCTGGAGTAGTCCGGCGTAGGTTAATTAATATTCATGAGCCAAGCTTTCGCCATAGTGGCATTCATGCATTTAACTGTTGCAGGGACATCATCAATTTACTGCCTCTAATAGCATGATATTAAAATCATCCTTTGTGTCTATAATGATATTTTATTATTTTGTTGTATTTTACTAGATAAAGTTGACAGGTTATGGTCAATAAAAGCCACTTTTTACTGACAGGTTTAGATCGGTCTAGCCTACATAAATATTTTATATGGCATATAATGACCAAATGCTCTATAAAGCAGTCCTGGGTAGATTACTTACAAATTGTAGCCCTTTACTGATTCCAAATTACATGACAAAAATTGTAGTTAGTAATCCATAACATCACACAATTTAGGTATTTTTGATTACTTTTAGATTACTTTTGACCTAACTTGTTTATCACATTGATTTAACTAGGACAATCATGTATCATATTGATATAAAAATACAAAGAAAAAGAAAATATGTTCCATTCACTGTTATAAACGACATGAAGTGCATTACACATTTCATTATGTCAAGTTTGTGAGTTTAATAAAAAGCTAATAATTAATTCAATAATAAAAATGTACAAGTAAAATAAATCTTTTTAACATAACAACAATCAAAATAAAACACTTACTAAAAAGAAGAAATATTTTATTTGTTTACTTGCATGTCATGTGACCATTAACCAACATGCAAATGTTTTACTTCAATATTAACTTATTAGTTTAAAAACTCAGGGGGTACTTCAAGTAAATATACTAGGTGAAGAGGTTAAGCTGACAAAAAGTCTGGGAATCCCTGCATTACATGTAAATAAGAAATAACATGAATTTATACATTTTAATGTGTTTGAAAGACAAAAGCCTTCCAGAGACATACTGTAGTAATACAGGGTTAAACAACCCACTGAGTGATAATTCAAATAAAAATGAATGTGTTCATCAGTAGATGATGGAATGTTGAAATGTTGAGAAATTACTTCTTAAAATTGAAATGATTTTTGTAAATCCGGTCAAATGCTGTGTGGCCTCTCAATTTTTGTGAATGTCGACAAACCTGAAAGACTTTCTGAATGTATACAAGTGGTAGGCTATTTTAGAAAGCAACATTTAAACGATGAAATAGAAGAATTAGGGAGAATCATTAAATTATGAATAATTTATTGCTAATGTGTGAATAATATGTACTCATATAATCAATAAAAAAGTATTTTTTTACCAATTTAAATTGATCCAACTCTGCAGTTAAGCTTAGCATATTCTTGCAGAAACAATCTGGTTATTGCTCCAATGGGATATTATGCTCCTGTGTGACTATTTACTGAAATAGCTCAATGGAAAACATGCTAGAAGAAAGTGTAGCCCAAAGTAAAAGATTTCATTCTAAATTAACCTTAAGTATTATTTCACAATTCAATAAGGGTGAAAGTTTAAAAATAACATCTGCATTGGTTTTTAATGTGTGTGTAACGCTGAAACCTGAACTCATCCTTGTTGGTGTTGCCAAGTTTCTGAACAGCTTCGGCAAGATTCAACAAGATTTAGTGGCAATGGAATTTACGATTGGTTTACTGTATTGTGGAAAGAGGGGTTTAAATTCTTTGCCAATGATCAAATGCAAGAGAAAGAATTTTATGTAATAAATTTGATGTTGTGTCTTGATACATTTCATACTCATAACTCAAGGCTTTCTAATAGGAGGTATTCTGTGTGAAGAGCCAGCTGTTTCAAATTGTACACCAATAAAAAAACATCAGTCGAACAAAACAGCCCTAGATATTTACAAAAGCAATGAAAGTTTCTTTGTAAAACGTCATACATTCATACAGTTTCCTAAACATTTTATGTAACGATTAATGCATTAGCTAGATGTGTTAATGCACTGCAAACTCACTAAGACACGGGTGTGTTTTTAATTGTGTCTGAATTTCCTTGCATTATAATAATATAAAGATTACGCATTATACAAATATAAAGAGCCTTGCATTATTATAGTGTAAGACCATGCACTGATGTTTAGAGATATTTTGTCACAATAAAATGTAGTTATTTCCCTTCATGTTATACAAAGACAGATTGTTGTGAAGCAATACAATTGTGAGAAACTGGCGTTACATACAATATAATAAAGGTAATTAAAAACAACATTTCAGGTCAGCAAACTACAGAATTTAAAGTCATTCACAGCAATAAACCGAAAGTGTCCTCTTTTTCTATTTGCAGTGGAAGTGCATGCAATTACTAGGAATATATTTACTGTAACATGATGTTTAACATGCATGAACATAAGCATCAGAACAAAAAAAAAAAGCCAAATTAAATACACATTTATATGAAGAAAATCATTCACAGCATTCGGTAACCTCATATACTTCCGGATCCCTCTTATATCTTTTTCACAACAATCTAATGTGGCCCAAGATGCAATTGAGGTAAAACTAGATGGTGCTTTTCCATGCAAAACTCTTATGTGTGTTCTGTATGTTGCTATGTGGTTACTAGGGTGTTCTGGGTACCTATATGATATTCCAGTCTGTAGATATGTCTCAGATTCCTCATTCGTTGTACATTGATTTTGTACCTCCATTGACATTGTGTGATTTCGTTGTCCATTTTATGGTCTGGCATTCAAAAGATGTAAATCAGGGAAGTTAGATAAGTACTAGCAGCTACCATGGAAGTCCTGGTGCAATCCGTCAGTAAAAATAAACCTACCTAAAGGACTGTTTCCAAATAACACACTTCCCTTTGTTTTGTCAGAATGGTGTGAGTCCATTAATTGATGCAGTTTTGAAGTCCTTATGAAATGATTGGAATTCCTATATGTTCCTCTTCAGTCGGCTCCTCAGAGAACTGTGCCGTGGCCTCCTGGATGGCCAGCTGTAGTGCAGCCCCAGCAGGGAGTTTACAATACCCACTTTCTGAAATGTTCTCCACCTGTAGGTAAACTCCAGGCTTCTGCAAAGCCACTCCGTGAAGATGGGAGAAGAGCAAGGGTAGGTCTTTAGTCAAGGTGTACCTTGAAGCGAGACCTAGTGCCGCTGGGATATCAGACTCTTGAGAGTACTCAAAAGTGGCCACCATGTATTTGGAGAGGTCTCGACCCAACGCTTTGGCATGGCACAGCTCCTCTCCGATCATGGAAACGATAGCCAAAGCAGTGTTCTCTAATGGTTCCTCATCCTCAGACTGCTTCTTCTGGTTCTGAAGGAGACCTTGTGAGCAGATGACCAACACAAAGTCGCACTTACTCAATCTCCTGCAATGCCAGCCCATACTGCCCTCCTCCATAATACTCAAGGCCTCCCACAAGTCCAAATGCACCTGAACAGAAAAAGAAGAATTAACAATAAATGTAATTAAGAGATAAAGAGGCAAAATAACCTTGTATAGACATTATTTTTTAATAATTTCCATTAATTACATTTTTAAATGTGTCAATTTTATTTATTTCTATCATTAAAATGATTGTATTCATTTTTTATATTTATGGACCAAAAAAAAAACAAGACTATCGAAGTGTAGAACCATAGTGTATTCCCTCTCATAAATAACTAATAAATAACAAGGAAAATCTTACATTTTAACTAAAAAAAGAATTAAATCAAAACTTATAAAAAAAAAAAAAATCAAACAAACAAAAATGAAAGCTAATTAATATAGCTTAATAATGAAAATGAAAACAGAAAATATATATAAAAAAGCTATGAATTAGCTTTTAGTTTTTTTTACAAAACAAAACAACAACAATAAAGAAATAATACTATAATATTTATTCATCCATCCATTCTCCAAACCGCTTAGCCTCTGTAGGGTCACAGGGATGCAGGAGCCTAAATACTATAGTAATATTAAAAATAATACTAAAATTCACTTTCTCCTTAAATATTCAAAATAATGCATGACATCACTTTTCTACAAGGCGCAGCAGATACATATCTATTAATACATAAAATGTCTAGTAATCTCAAACAAATGTAATTTAGGGTTTCATGACCTTATAACAAATATCAGTGTGTTTTGTCTGATTTAATCTTGATACACTTACTTGGGTAGCCATGTGCTTTTGCAAAAACACAGCTAGTTGCAGCACGACATTGACGTGGGCAGGACCATCATTACTTGAGTAGCAAATCAGGAGGCGAGGGGGGCGGGTGGTTCTGTCCAGCAAAACACACTGTCCTTCATCCAGTTTTTTGTCATAGTACTGTTCAATGACCTCTGACAAATAGGAAAAAACAATCCAATTCCCCATTAGTACAAAACAACAAAGACATTTTAGTAGAAAACAATGCCCCAAAAAACAGTTGCTTAACAGTATTGTTGATGTTAAAGAGATACCATTATAAAACTCAAACCTGGTCTCATTTTGGTCTGGACTGTTTTCTTTTTGAGTTGTTTCTTGTAGACAACAATGAAGGTGAGCACTGCGGTAGCAGCAAGCAGGATTCCCACAGACAAGAGCACCATTAGTGAAGAGCTCTCTGTGAAGTGTGGGGTCGGCAGTTCTGATCGCGAGAGAGAAAAATACTAAAGCGATTATGACACTGGTGAGTTTTTCATTGAAGTAACAGTTTTAGTGAGTGTTGTCACTTTAAAAGCTGCCTGGCATGTTGCTCTACAGCTATTGTACTTGCTGAAAGTACAATATACAAGTAAATTTTTTCCTCCTTGTCATTGAACATGTCTTTATCGGTTTACACTACATGTGTGATTTTTTTTGATTGACGGTTCAACATACCTTCAGAACTATGTTTTATTACAACAATGAATGTTTTCCTTACTGCATCCACAACATCAGCAGCAATCTGGAGGGAAGAAAAGGACAAAAACTACTCGACATGTAACAAGATCATAAATTGCTGTTGTAAAAAACAGCTGGAATTTATATATTTAGAAAATGACAGCAAAAACTGCACAGCTACTTATTTGCAGAGCCTATTGGCACAGAGTTTTCTGTTTGTCTGAATGGTTGTGACAGAATGAGAGATAAAATTACATACACTTTTGATTTCATAATAGAGTACGACTAAAGCAACACACACTCGTTTAAACTGAAAAATGAAGACTCACCTCGCAGGTGTAGTTTGTACCTGCTCGAAGATTCTGCAGTCGGTACGTGTGATGTGTCTTATTGAGACTGAAATCCTAGGAGGACATCAACAAACATATTCTGATTTAATAATTAACAGGTAATTTTTTATTTTATTTTAATTATTTATTCATTTTACACTTCAGCAAATAACAATAACATCTGCATTACAGATATTGTACAAACGTATATATTGTTAACAAAAACTCACTGGTTTAATGCTTGTGTAATTACGTAGGCCACCTCCGAAACATGATGAAAAATACTGATGGACTTTGAAGTTCTCAGGCGCAAGGTTAAAGGTCACATAAACATCCCGGTTCTCCTGGTGGACTTCAACGTATCTGGGATACCAGTCTAGAATGATTGACAGAACATGACACATCTGATGACTATGTGCCATGAACAACAAAAACCCAGAAGACATGTGATAACTATGACACACTCACCTTTCTTACACTCTTCAAGACCATTTTCTTCAGGACATGCTGAAAACACATAAGAAGCATTTGACAGGTTTATTAAAACTCAAGCATTTGACAACTTATTCCATAAACACGCAGTGGCAGGTTGTCAACACTGTTAATAGCTATAAAACTAATTACAGGGTTTGTTTATTCTTGTCAACTCTTACTGCGTGTGAAAAACTGTTTCCTCTTATAGAACTGGTCCCACCGCTCAGGGACGGGCAGTGCCATGACAGTCACGACATACTCGCTATCCAAAGACAGGTGTGTGAAAGGATCTGAGTGATACACCTGTGGAAATATGTTACATGATCTCATGACTTCAGACTTCGGGAATTGGACATTGGGCACATGCAATTGAAAGCCATAAGGAAAAAATAGGACTCATACTAAATAGCTAAACATTTAAAAGATGTAGAATGTAGGATGTAGGGCTGTCTGTCGATTTAATGCGTTCATTTAGTAGGATTCATTTTGGAAAAATGATTAACGCATTTAACACACCCCCAGCCCAGACCCATATTTCAGTATTCAATTTTATATAAATATAAAAAAAATAGCCATTTATTATCATTATTTATGCAATGCCGAATCAAAATATTTCATTATAAAGCTACTTTTTTGTAATGTCTAATCAATGCTTTTCTCATTGAACACAATAATTGCTTTATCTCAGCCAAAATATGGTACATCGTCTAATTCATTAGAATAAAAATGTAATCACTTGACAGCCCTAGTAAGATAAGGCCCTGTAGCCATTTATTATCATTATTTATGCAATGCCGAATCAAAATATTTCATTTTAAAGCTACTTTTTTGTAATGTCTAATCAATGCTTTTCTCATTGAACACAATAATTGCTTTATCTCAGCCAAAATATGGTACATCGTCTAATTCATTAGAATAAAAATGTAATCACTTGACAGCCCTAGTAAGATAAGGCCCTGTTTTTTCTAATAGTTTGGAAATTTTGAACAAGAACAATGGATGCTACATAATTTGTAGGTTTTTTTTTACATACCCTCTGGGCATGTGCAGGGGTGAGCGATAGATTGGTACCCAGAAGAAAGAGCTGACATAAGACCTGAGATCCACCAAGAGCCTGAAGGGTTACTTGAAATCCATGCAAGAATGCAATACCTGTGTACATCAGTCAAATAATTAGACAAAGAGACAGACAGAATGATAGACAGAACGACAGACAGATAAAATGGCAGATGGACAGAATGATACTTGTTTGTATTTAAATTTATTGCCATATCAGATTTATTGGCTATTACATGGCAGATACAAATTGAACTGTGATGAGGTTCAGAGTGTGTAAGGAAGAAAACAGGGTCGACCTACTTAGACTTGCGCGTTTTTATTAACTACAAAGGAACAAAAAGTCGTGCTGTGCGCGTTTCCATAAACAGTCACTTTTTTAGATCAAGTACTCCGTTTCTAAGTTCTACACGGAACTGCCTCACCTCCTTTTTGGTCTTGGGTCTCAGGCATGTTGCAACTGCTGCCGTCTTACTAATTTGGGGACGCACATGCCCGTGACCCAAGTGGATGCCCAGATAGCAGACCTCCACACACCCAACCACACACTTCTTTGGGTTGGCCATCAGTCCAGCCACTCTCAGCGCTCTCAGGACAGCACGCAGATACCCCATATGATGCTGCCAGTCATTAATGTAGATGATTAGCAGCATATGCAGCATGCTGCCGGAGAATCCTTTCCATGAGACGCTAAAAAAGTGGCCGGTGCCCCGAACAACCCGAAAGGAAGCGCAACGAATTGGTGCAGTCCAAACAGCGTTGTAAAGACTGTTTTTTCTTTTGATATAGGCAATAAGGGGCTCTGCCAATTTCCTTTAGTTAAATCCAGTTTCGAATAAAAACAAGCTGTGACAAGCCGATCAAGCCATTCATCAACCCGCAGCATTGGATATGCGTCGAATTTTGGCACAGTATTCACCTTGCGATAATCCACACATAACCGTACAGAGCAGTCCGTTTTAGGCACTATAACTATCAGGCTTGCCCAATTGCTGTGGGATTCTTCTATTACTCCCATGTCTACCATCGCCTCAAATTCAGTCTGTACTTATTTTTGTGTAAACGATAAGGCCAGCTGCGCACCACCACACCCGGCTCGGTCTCAATATGGTGCTGAATGAGATTCGTTCGGCCAGACAGGGGTGAGAACAGGTCTGCAAATTCTGCTTGCAACCTGGCTACATCAGTAAGCTGCGAGGGCGAGAGGTGATCTACTGCTGGCTCACTTCTGGCCCAAGATCTTCCTCCTTGCTCACTGCCATCGCTAGCATCACTTATTCTGCCTCACTCCATATTTAAGGAGGTTGAGGTGGTAAATCTGATGTGCCCCACTCCCATAGCCAGCTCTGTTTGTCCTGGGCCTGTAAAAAATTCTCCATAGAGAGCTGCCCCAAAGTGTGGAGTTTTGTTCCCAGGTCCAGTACTGAATTTAATTTCTGCTATCCGAAGGTCCGTCCTCCCAAGCCTCTCTCAGGATGTCCAAGACCCCACGAGGCTGACGACCATAAAGAAGCTTGAAGGGGGAAAACCTTGTGGAGGCTTGTGGGACCTCACGCACAGTGAACAAGAGGGGTTCCAGCCATTTGTCCCAATTTTTGGCTCCTTCGTGAACTAACTTCCAAAACATGGTTTTCAACATGCGTTTAAATCGTTCCTCCAGGCCATCTGTTTGTGGGTGATAGATGATTTAATGCCCAATAATTCGTAAAGTTTGCGTAACCTTGCCCTGATCAGTGGGAATCTCCTTCAGGATTTCCACTCTGGAGATTAAACGAAACAGCACGTCCGCTACGCTTTTTGCAGAAATGCTGCAAAGCGCAACTGCCTAAGGGTACCGTGTTGCGTAATCCACCAGGACTAATGTAAAGCGATGCCCCCTTGCAGATCATTCAAATGGCCCGATGAGGTCCATGCCAATTCTCTTGAAGGGGATTTGCATAAGGGGAAGAGGGCACAAAGGCACTTTCGGAGCGGCCGGGGGATTCACTAACTGACATTCACGACAAGCCGCACACACATTCTCGTGAATGCCCAGCCAGAAAAATCGGGTCATTCGACGATTTAATGTTGCTGATTGTCCCAAATGTCCTGCCATATATTACAGTGAGCCACCTGGAAAAGCATTTCCCGATGGCTTTTTGGTACTAACAACTGAGTTGTGTCTTGCTTTGTCTGAGCAACTTGGGTCACTCGATAAAACCTATCTTTTAAAATAGCAAAATAAGGATAGGAAAGCAGCCGAGCTTGATGGAGAAGCTGCCCGTCGAAAGAACGGACCTGTGCAAATGCATTTTTCAACGTTTCGTCCTGTGACTGTTCCAGGGGGAAATCATCGCGCTATGTGAGGATTAGCCTCTCGACAGCACTCTGTTCCTCTGGCTCAGGTCCTGTTGGTCCCAGTTCAGCTTCTCCTAACTGTGCGACCGCCCCACTTCCCCATTCTCCGTTCATCCAAGAGGCATCCACACATAAATACCCCAATAAATGACTAAAAGCTGGCCAATTTGTCCCCAAAATTAGCCGATATCTGAGGTGCGGGCAAACTGCAACCTCCACACTATGCTTTTGTCCCTAAATTGAACAGCAACTGACATTAAGGGATATTTCACCACATCCTCGTGCACACACCGCACCTGAACCACGCAGCTTTTATCCAATGCCTCGGGCTGAATCAGTTTTTGATGAATCATGTTTCATCATTCAATTAAGTTGGTTACATCCTGAATCCACTAAAGCTTGATAAGTACCCCCTTAATACTCAGAGGTATTTGGTACAACCCAGCTTGATCTGGGGCAGTCTGCGGTGCGTCTGGAACCGGGATCAGTGTCCCCACCTCCATCACTGGACACCGATCAACAAAGTGTCCTGGATCCCCACAATGCCAACAGGTCGGCTCAGACCTCCCCGCCACCCTAGTGGCAAGAAGCGGGTCAAGGAATAGACTCGCTCGTGCTGGCGCTGCTTCTCAGGACTAAGGCCGGCCCGCTGAAGGATGTCTCATTTCATGTGTTCATACACCAGGAGGTTCTGGACTGGCAGGTGTTGTGAAGCCATCTGAACCTCTCCTGAAAGCAGCGGGATGAGGCACACTGGCCAGTTGGATTGGGGCCACCCACATGTCTCAGTGGTCCTCTCGAAGAGATCAATAAATGCCTCCGGATCATTCTGAGGACCCATCTTGTTTAAAGGCTTGTGAGTGGGCAGGACTAGGGTAGATGGAGTCCCTGCAGCCTGAACCTCCCAGTCTATCCAGCTCTGGAACAGTTCGTGGTCCTCCCGCTGTGCCTGGCCGAGGGCTTGGAACTGACATTCCTGATTTTCCCTCATGTCCAGTAGCGCCTGATGATGTTCTTGGTGGAGTCTCGCAAGCAAATGGATGACCTCCGCAAACGGCTAACCTGACGGGAACTGCATGACAGCGGCAGCGTTTCTTCTTCCTTCCCTTGTTTCGGCACCAGTGTGATGATGTTCAGAGTGTGGAAGGAGGAAGACAGGGTCGGCTTACTTAGACTCGCGCATTTTTATTAACTACGAAAGAACAAAAAGTCGCGCTGTGTGCGCTTCCATAAACAGTCACTTTTTAGATCAAGTACTCCATTTCTCAGTTCTCCACGGCTCTTAGTCTCCACATCCACGTGCGAGTTCTCAGTCCACGCTTTCTCTCTCTTTTCCCATTTTCCGGTGGCTTTTTATCCGGTCTCTCCAGCCAATTACAGCAATCAGACACAGGTGTTTGTCATTTTGCACTTGACCTACTTACTCACTGCTCATCTCCCATCTCTATCCCATTCTTCACCCTTCAGTAAATACCCATGAGTCAGTTTAGTAAGGCCTGTCCGACACCTTTTGTATACAATTTCTCAATTTCTCTAATATATATTAGATTATTAAAGGCTTTATGTCAGAGGGTGGGATTTGGCTTTCTGCAAGAACTTGTTTAGCAGTTAAAGTGAAGTGAAGTGACATGACATGTGGCCAAGAATGGTAACCCATACTCGGAAGTTGTGCACTGCATTTAATCCATCCAAGTGCACACACACAGCAGTTAGTAGTGAACACACACACACACCGTGAACACACACCCAGAGCAGAGGGCAGCCATTTTGCTGCAGTACCTGGGGTGCAACTGGGGATTTGGTGCCTTGCTCAAGGGCACCTCAGTCAAGGGTATTGAGGGTGGGTATTGAAGAGAGCGCTGTTCATTCACTCCCCCCGCCTACAATTCCTGCCGGTACTGAGACTCAAACCCGCAACCTTTGGGTTAGAAGTTTGGCTCTCTAACCATTAGACCATTTGTGCGCGTTTTGCACTAAGTTTCACCAACATCAGTCTGCTCAGGTGGGATTTGAACCCAAGCCTCCATGGCTGCCTCATCCACAACTAACATGTGTTTAGCCACTGCTCCACCATGGCTTTTCACAATTATGTCTGCTTGATCATTTCCAATAATGCCACTATGCCCTGAAATCCAGCAGAAAACGATGTTGTAATTAAGTTTATGTAACTGATCTGCTTTGATTAATGTAACGACAGAATGAACAATAGACAGACAGAGCGATAGATAGACATTCAGATTGACAGAATGCTAGATAAATAAAACAATAGATACAGACAGAAAGAATGACTGACAGACAGGTAGATAAATAGATCAACAAGGAGACAGAATGATTGACAGACAGACAGAATGACTGACTGACAGACAGAATGATAAAAAGAACAATACAGACAGACAGACAGACAGATAAGAGAGATAGATAGATAGATAGATAGATCAACAGACAGACAGAATGATTGACAGACAGACAGAACGATAGAGAGAACAATAGATATAGACAGACAGAGATAGTACAACAGACAGTCAGATAGATCAATGGATGGATGAACGGATAATGGATGGATGTGTTGTGTCTTCATTACCGTATTGGCTTGGGTTCCATGACACAGTAATAGCATCATATGTTGGTTCTTCACTGGCTTCAAACTCAATCTGAATATTGCGTGGTGCATGAACATAATGCTGGCAGACCTCTGGGGTTTCCTGACCTAGAAAAGAGTGACAAGGCCAAGGCACACAACCTGGCCAATGAGAGAAGTTACTCACAGTAATACTAAATGTGCTGTTGTTGTCTTAATGAGCGATTCATTTTTACACCTAGTGAAATCCCTTGTAGCCTATATTGTATGGTTTTGGGGAAAAAACTTTAAGTGTAAATTACCATTATTAGTTTAAATTACATTATAAGTGTAAATTAAAGTTTTTTTTTTTTAACAAAACAACATTACTGGCATATTGTAGATACTGTAGAGTTGTTATATCTATAACCAGTGTTGGGTGTAACACATTACAACGCAAGTTACGTAATCCGATTACTTTTTTTCCAAGTAATTAGCAAAGTAACGGATTACTTTTTAATTTACAAGAAAATATCTGAGTAACTTTTTTGAATAAGTAACACCAGTTACTTTGTTTTCCCATTTATTGACTGACAGCTCTCCTGTCCCCATGTTGAGAGAAATCGGGAGTAAGTGCAGAGGTGCATCTCACTTGCACACAGATTTTGTATTCCTCAAAATGAATAAAAAACAGTGAAATGAAAACTCACAATATAAAACCTGCAATAATTAAATACGTTAAATAATGAAATATCATTTATAATTTTTTATTCCCATTTTATTAACCAATTTCTTTGCTGCTGACCTTCGATGATTGATATATCAACCATACTAATAAGCAAAATGACTTTAGATAAACATAACATTTGTGTTTCTTTTTTTTTTTTTTTTTCTGAAGAGAGAAAAATGAGGTCAAGGCTGCATCTCACTTGCACACAGATTTTGTATTCCTCAAAGTGAATAAAAAACAGTGAAATGAAAACTCACAATATGAAACCTGCAATAATTAAATACGTTAAATAATGAAATATAATTTATAATTTTTTATTCCCATTTTATTAACCAATTTCTTTGCTGCTGACCTTCGATGATTGATATATCAACCATACTAATAAGCAAAATGACTTTAGATAAACATAACATTTGTGTTTCTTTTTTTTTTTTTTTATGCTTAAGAGTGTTGAACTTTCTTTTCTTGCATCCTATTCTTCATGCAATCCAGAATGGCACTACAGTTTAATGTCGGCATGAAATCAAAATTGACTTTATTTACTTTACTAGCGCACATTGCTAGTCTTGATGTTAACAATTAATCCGTGCAAGTTAATCCGCTGAAAAAAATTGTTTGTCTTGGTAATCTTTAATCAAAATCTGAACATTTGCTTCCGCTCTGGAATGGCAGTCCTTCTCTGATGACGTCAGTTTGACGGCTT